GTTCATCCGGGTGCATTTCCTCCAGTTGAGGCTCCATCTCCATTAATTGATCAATGTGGTGGGCTCTAAATAAACCAGTTAGAAGTTTTAATAATGAAAAAATCAATGAAATCAAAATTAATAGAGTAGAATAATAGCAAAAAGGAGAAAACTGCAACCAAAAACTGACTTTTTAATCATTTCGGTCTCAATCATTTGTTGCTTTTGCATAGCAACATTGACAGTGGTAAGATCAGCTGGTTGGTCCTCACGAGTCATCTCCTTCTCCAACTGGCTGGCCCATTCCTAGCAATTAAGTAACATGTGCACTGACCAAGGTTTCGTTCAAGATTTCACATTTTCTACCTTCATGTCAGCGATACTCTGTACGTAAAGTTGTTGGCGATTGGCGTCAAACAGTTTTTGTCCCTTTTCTTCAGTGGTCTTTTCGAGTTGCTCCCACTGATGAGCTAACTCGGTGATTTGGGGATCGATAGTGCCAGTAAATTCTGGCTTCTCCGCTCCTAGGTCAATAGCTGCATGTTGGAGTTGATCCAGACGTTCCTAAGGACATAGATTTTCAATTATCAGTTGCAGAGAATTGTCAAATTTCTACCTTGTTGGCTTGAAGTTCGCTTTGGAAGGCTTGGTGGCGAACAAATTTGGAGGTTATGGTTTTTGCATCCCTAAAAAAGAGAGTTACCAGGAAATTCCACAACCTATTAAGTAAACAATGTACAATATCAGAGATTCCCAAACAAAACATATGTTAAAGAGAATATTGTGATACCAACCTGTAGGTCTCATCCTGAGCGCGAATCATCTTCTCCTCAATCCATTCTCTCAATTCTTCGCAATCAGATAAGAACTGCTGCAATGCAAGAGCGTCTTTCAATTTGCCAAGTAAAGCCTGAGCTCTTTCTCGGTTAGCCTCGCGACGTTCATCGATGTTACGTGCCTTCTTGTGGATCTGCAAATGTGTAATTCAGAAATTTCAAAGAAAGACCACACATGCTATGGCAGATAATACAGCTTCAATGATTTATCACCTTATCTGCTGCATAATGGCCATCTTGACAAAGCTGATCACCAAACATTCCAACAGCTCGAATCTTTTCATCATTTGCATCCATGGTAGTCATGAAGTCCTAAATATGCTTATAATGTT